TAATCCCAGCACTAGGGAGGCAGAGGCAGGCGGATCTCTGTGAGGTCAGCCTGGTCTACATAGTGAGTTCCAGGCCAGCTGAGGCTACAGGAGACAAAACAAAACAAAACAAAACAAAAGAAACAAAAAACAAAACAAAACAAAACAAAAACAAATGAAACTGAGTCCAGTAATAGTTCCAAGTGAGTGTAGTTCCCTATGTCTCATCTCCAGTAATTCTTTCCTAATATTCTGATCTATAGTGTTGCTGTCTTATTGCAGCTGAACACAGCCACTTACCTTCTCCTAGTCCATTTTTTATTTTCTTTTGTGTCTTGTCTTGTTTGCTTCGAGCCTGGTGTTTAGTTTCCCTGGCGTCTCCTCCATTGAGGCCTCACAGGGAAGATGTTGAGAGGAAAATGGGCGTGGAGGAAGACTTTTCCAAGGCTTCAAATGTCTGGTGGCCATCGGTGGCTCTCTGCTCTTGCCCATACTATAGACGGAGCCCAACACAGTGCTGGGCCAGGTCCTGGGGTTTAGAGGCCTTGCAGTTTGAAGTAGTTATGAGGTGCAAAGGTCAGGGGTAGGGGAGTAATGGGTACCTGGGCACGTGGGCCATCTGCTAAGGTGAGGAAGTGAGGGCTGAGTGGGTCTGGGTCAGAGTGTGTGTGATTTTGGGGTAGACAGAATTCAGGAGGGAGAGCGTGTAAATGTGACGGGCTGTTAAGAATTTATTAACTCTGGGCTGGGATCCTTCTAGCAACAACTGTGATCCTTGTCAACCTCTACCTGGTGGTGTTCACACAGTACTGGCCTGTCACTTTGCTCATGCTCATCTGGCTGGCTTTTGACTGGAAGACCCCTGAGCGAGGTAAGGGCCCAGTTGGGCTGCACTGACCTATGTTCTTCCCTCCTCTCTCCTAATCCTGATTCCAGGCAGCCCTTCTGCCTATTCATCCTTGGGCTAGGGAAGCTGAGGGAAGGAGTCTTAAGAGTCTTCAAGTTCTTAGAAAGGCCCATTTTGGAAATGGAGTGGGTTAGGGGAAGGAAGGAGCAGGGTACAGCTAATGAGGTAGAACCTCAGTCTGTCCTAAGTTGGTCATGATACACATGCACACTAGTTGTCCCTTAAGAGGCCAGGAAAAGGTGGAGGGTGAGAGTCCCTTGTGGTAATTCCAAAAGGACTCAAAAGAGTGAGTGGGCATGGCAGAGCTCGCCTACATTGCCTCTGCTTTCAGGTGGCCGCCGGTTCACCTGTGTGAGGAGGTGGTGTTTGTGGAAACACTACTGCAATTACTTCCCAATCAAGGTGAGTAACACGGAGCTGTGGCTGGACCCCAGGCCAGTAGCTGGGTCAGGGTTGGGGTAGAGGGTACCACCACAGGAGGTCCTGGGCGAGTGATGACTCCTGGAGTTGCATGTTGCCCACCCTGCATGGCTGGAGCCCACAGCCCTTTCTCTTCCTGTTTTCTGGCCCCCAAGGGACTCCACTTCTCTGGCTCTAGTCCTCCTTACTTTGCTTTCCTCTACAGCTTCTGAAGACTCATGAGATTTCCCCCAGCCACAACTATATCCTGGCCTGCCATCCTCATGGGATCATGTCTCATGCATGCTTTGGACACTTTTCCACTGAAAGGTCAGGCTTCTCCAAGATCTTTCCCGGCATCACTCCTTATATGCTCACGCTAGGAGCCTTTTTCTGGATGCCTTTCTTGAGAGACTATGTAATGTCTACAGGTGAGTTGACTCCTAAGGCATAAAGCCTCAAAAAGGGAGAACTAGGGGGATGGGTGAGAGCACAGCCAACTCTGTGGTCCTCTCTGGTGCTGAACAGCTCCCCAGGCCCAGAGGCTGGAGAGGAGGCTCCTTGCTCTCCTGCTCCTTAAAGAGGGCAGGAGGGAAGTTAGCAGGGGCTGGGAAGTGACCAATGACCTCTTGGCCTTTTCTGCCCACCAGGGGCCTGCTCTGTGAGCCAATCCTCCATGGACTTTCTGCTTACCCGGAAGGGCACAGGCAACATGCTCATTGTGGTGACTGGTGGCCTGGCTGAGTGCAAATACAGCATTCCAGGCTCTTTCACCCTGGTCTTGAAGAACAGGTGTGGCTTTGTGCGTATGGCCCTTCGGCATGGGTAAGGACAGCCGGGGGTGGGGGTGGGGGTGTCCAAAAGTGCAGCAGGAAAAAATGGCAGGTTTTGAAAAAGTGGTATCTAAACAGAAAGCAGGAAGTATGCCAACTGTTGTTATTAACTAGTGCCACCATAAATATTTGTGTAAGTTTTGAGGGTTTTTGTGATTGCGTGATGCATGTGGAGCTCAGAAGTCAACGTTGGGTGTTGTTCCTCAGGCTTAGCCACCTTGTGTTTTTTTTTTTAATTCATTTTTACTTTTTTTGTGTATGAGTGTTTTGCCTGCATGTATGCAAGTGTACAGTGTCATGCAAAGCCTGTGGAGGCCAGAAGAGGGCGTCAGATCCCCTAGAACTGGAGTTACAGATGGTTGGTAACCACCATGTGGGTGCTGGGAATTGAACCTGGGTCATCTGGAAGAGCAGCCAGTGCTCTTAACCACTGAGTCATCTCTGTAGCCCCCACCTTGTGTTTTTGAGACAGGCTCTCTCAACTGGCCTGGAATTTACTGAGTAGGATACACTGGCAGATCACTGAGTCCCAAGGACCCACCTATCTCTACCTCCTCAGTACTGGGATTTTAAGTATGCCACCATACCTGGCTTTTCCCCCTCTAACATGGGTTTTGGGCATTGACCTCAGGTTCTCCTGCTTGCCCAGGAGCACTTTACCAACTGAGCTATCTCCCTAGCTCTCCATACATAAGTTTAATTTGATTTCATCAGTTGAAAATAAAAGAAAGGAAAACTGTGGGTTGGAATCGAGCCTGATTGGAGGCACTTCTGCTCGTGAAGAAAGCTCAAGGGCTAGGCCTCTCACTAGCTCCCCAGTGTAGGTAAAGTCAAACTAAGCATATGAGGTAAAGGGAAGAAACCCAATGAAATGGCTGTTGCACTGTATCTGGCAAGTGATTCAGCTGTGGGCACTCCCAGGAGCCAGTGGGCTTTCTTTCTTTCAGAGGCTGCCATTTTCTCTTCAAAGGCAGCCTGGCCTAGAACATGGGGCCACCACACTGCTGGGGCCTCGGCACAGCTGAACTGAGGTCTAGGGATCCTGTGGGCAGTCACAGGGACTGCTGGTGGTTGGCATGTCTTATTCAGTCCTTTTGGGCATTCAAGGACATACTTTTTCCTCTGCAGGGTGTCTCTAATCCCTGCTTATGCCTTTGGAGAGACGGACCTCTATGACCAGCACACTTTCACTCCTGGGGGTTTTGTCAATCGTTTCCAGAAGTGGTTCCAGCGGCTGGTACACATCTACCCCTGTGCTTTCTATGGGCGTGGCTTTACCAAGAACTCCTGGGGCCTTCTGCCTTATGCTCAGCCCGTAACCACTGTTGGTGAGTGGGCCCTTCTATTGGAAGCCTTGGTCTAGGATCCAGGATCCACTTCAGAGGTTGAGCTTCAGCCCTGACTGTTGTTTGGAGACAGCTGGTGGTGAGCTGGGGGTGAGGGTGGAAAATTGGACTCCAGGAAGGGGACTGTTCTGAGGAGTGAGCTATTCTGATCCTTTCCCCTTTTCCTTTTCTATCTCCCTTGGCAGTTGGGGAACCTCTACCACTGCCCAAGATTGAGAAGCCGAGCCAAGAGACCGTGGTCAAATACCATACACTTTATATTGATGCCCTACGCAAATTATTTGACCAGCATAAGACCAAGTTTGGCATCTCAGAGACCCAGGAGCTGGTGATAGTTTGAAAGACATTCCCATGCCTGGATGGCATGGAACTGGTGAAAACAGGACAAAAATCACCCATGAAATGCCACTTGTGACTTGACTAGAGGGAGAGGCTATTTGGTTATTTTCTGCACCCATCCTTTTCCACTTCCATCTTTCTTCTAGCTTTTTCCCTTATTCCCTGGACAGAGAAGACCCTAGGCAGAGGTTCACTGAAGGCACTGAAGCTTCATGAGTACCAGCACCAAGGAAAATCATGAACAGAATAAAGAGTGCATCATCTGGTACCATATGTGCTCCATCTAGTCTGTTTGGAGGGCTCTAGGATCTCATACATCTGTCCTTCTCTAGCTGTCACACAGTCTCGTCTCCTGGTGTCAAGGTTCTTGCAGGACTGGCTCCCTTGACAGCCGGGGGGCTTTGGGTTCAGGCTCCCTAGCACCTATGAACCCTGTGACTTTGGGGACAATCTGTTACCCCGTATCCTATTTCCGCATCTGTAAAATGAGACTAATAATCCTTCCCCTGCTTACCTCAAAGGCTGGCTGTTGGCATGGTTAAAATGCTACAGGATGTGACCAAACCACACTAGAGAGCCACACAAAATGGTTCTCTTCTAGTCATTTAACACATTTCCTGCCCCTAAGCAAACAATTGCCTAAGGTTCACGGTGTCTCAATTTCTAAAAGAAAGTGCAGGATAGCGTGCCGAAAGTTTAATTTGATAGTCCTTGCTACCTCTTAGTCCCACTTCATAAAGCTACAATAGAATGGCTCAATGGGTCAGGTCTAATTTCCCATCTTTCTCCCAGAAATTGCCTGCACCAGCCTAGCCCTATTAATTTTGCTCTTTGAGAGTCTACTAAGATGTCTGGCTTCCAGGATCTATGAAGAACTTGCTTTCTGAGTCTCCGAGTGGCAAGAATCTCAGACTCTTGGCCCAATGGTTGTTGCAATCACAGATTACACAAATTGGTCCATAGGCTCTCTTGAATGGGTGTCATTTGGTTCAATGATTTATCTACAACAAATTTGTTGATTTGGTCTAGGACATCCTGTGTACTTACTGTAATGTGGCATGCCCCCTCTACTATGGGTGCCTGTCTCATGTGATGATTTGTACACAGTAGGGCAAAGGCATATTTTTTTTCTGATGTCTGTGTTGCTTCTTGTGCCAGAGGTTATTTCCCTGAGCTCCCATAAGGTGTCTTGTTTTTGGTGTGGGGGATCAAACCCAGGGCCTCGTGAGTGCTAAGGATACATCGACCACTGAGCTATATCCCAAGATGATTTTCCAAGCTTACTGTGACTGAAAGCCTCTCTCTAAGGCAGCCAGAGGACCACCCTAGGGGCCAGCATCCAAGCTGTGCTCATCTTACCACTGCAGGTTTGTCCACACACCTGAGTATCACGTTCTCCACAATAAGGTGCAAAGGCTCCTATGTTGTGAAAAGTTCCCAGATCTCTTGAGAGACTCATTTCTGAGCTGCCATGTGTTCTTGTGATCTTCCTTAGAACAGCTTCCACAGGGCTTCTCCAGCAAACAACATGGGGCCAGTTAATAAACACAGCACGGCAGAGTACAAAGCATACCATGCAGGAAACCAGTCAGACTGAGATACTTTCTAGTTGAGTGACCTTGTGGGGATAACTTCAAATATTTGAGCATTGGTTTCCTCATCTTCAAAATGAACTGATACCTTAATGAGACTCTGAAAACTGGTATAGACGCCACATTCCCAAGCTGAAGATGACCCTGTGCTATGTGTCTCTGTCATGTGTCTCTTGCCTTCCAGCAAGGCATCAAGCCTTTGAGGCTTAAGGTTCTAGAAGATCTAAGGGTTAGGTGTGTGCAGGGGCACAGAGACCATGTGGGATGTACTGACAAGAAATTCAGATTAGCTCCCTTCTGTTGCTCTCGCCAAAATGGGTGCCCTGGTCCTTTGCCTGTGCTCATGTGTGGTGGCATCATTTGCAAAGAGCCATAAAACATGTAGGAAGAGATCAAACTGATTTCAAGAAGGGGGAAGCACTTTATTTGCAAAGAATAAACCATTAATTTACACAAACTTACATCCCTGTTTATATACATTATATATAGTTTATATACACAGTATCTCACACTGGATGCTGAACCCCCAAAGCAGCATTGGGCCTGCTCCAGGCCATTCTCAAGACAAAGCCACCCCCATCTCAGCTGGAAGCTTTTTGCATAAAGAAACGACACACCTCACCCCTCTTGGAGAGAGCCCTGACAGGGACTAAGAGAACAGATTCTTTAATGGTGCTAATAGCCTAAGGAGCCCCAGGCACAGATGGGACCTCAGGTGTCACTAGGAAAGCCTAAGGACTGCCTGGCTCAGGGCCATTCTAGAGTCTTCCAACCCAGAGGCAGGAGCTGGGCAAATGCTTTGGGGGAGTGTGTGTGTGAGGGTGAGTTCTGATGAAGGCTGAAGCTACACTCCTTGCCTGGCCAGGCTCCTAAAGGGAGCCATTTCCAGCCTTGAGTCTGTGGGTGGATGAAAAAGGAGGCCCTGTGGGACAGGCTGCTCTGCCCCTTCTCTCTGCTGAGTCTGGAGGTGGGAGCATGCTCATGCCCTGGGCAGGCCACCTTCCCTGTCTGGACATCAGTTTCACATGAGTAACAGGAGGGAATGTAGGTTGGGCTGTATTTCCTCTAAGAAGAGCCTTTTTAGTTCAAAATTTCTCTGTCTGTATCCAGTAGAAGTTGCATAAAACACAAGCACTCACATGTGGATCTAAATCTTTGTTTTCCTCTAGGATCCTTAGCCTTTTCTTGCTACACAAGAGAGATTTGGCTCAGGATGGTTAAAGGGGCAACTAAGGCAAATACTACATCTTCCAGGGAACCAGTAGTCAAACAACCTCCAGCCTTTTGTGCCAGTTTGGCTGCTGAAGCCCAAGCAGCTGGTAGAGGCTCCTGCCATGCAGTTCTTCAAATTTGTCACCTGCTTGCCTAAAAATGCCCTCGTCCCATCCTCCATGCTATTCTTCCACCCTCCCCGTAACTTCACATCATAATAATTCCAAACTGTAAATCGAAGTCCCTATTCTCCTATCAGTAAATGTTTCAGTGCCTTGCCTACATGACTACCCACAACAGGGTCCCCTTCCTTCCCCAGCCCTCTCCTTCTAGGGCTCCTTTTGAGGGTTCAGAATGAACAAAGGATAGTGAGAAACCCAATTCCTCTATGATTCCCATGCATGGAGAGTGTGGTGAGGTTGGCATGTCCTTCAGGGCCACAATTAGGAAGCTTTCTCTATTTTCCCCATAGCCATCTGGTTTTAGAATGGTCCTCTCAGGTTCTCCCTCCATTCTCAAGGGACTCTGGCAGCATCAAGGTCTCTGTGATATGGCAGAAAGACAGAAGGAGTCACAGTTAACTACAGGAAGCAGATTGGCTCCCAGAATCTGTGTCTCGGGTAAGGGACAGAAGACCTTGTCCCACAGTGGCGGGTCCCCATGTGATAGATGCTTCTTTGATCAGATGGGTGAAAAATAATAAAGTCTACCAGTTATGTGGGTCCCAGATCTCTAATGATTGGCAGATTCTTTTCAACATAAGAATGCTTAAGGTTGATGACTATTTCCCAAGAAAACACCTGACTCTTGCCATGGAGCCTGATAGCCAAAAGAAAAAACAGGCAGTACCATCAAGTAATGCAAATTGGCATGGCTGGGTTTCTCCCTAGGACCTTCAAGGATGTCAGTTCCACATGTTCACTTTTATTGGTTCTTTTTAGTCTCCACCTTCCACACAATGCATGGTGAGGGACCAGCTTGGGAGTCAGACCAGTCCAAAGCCCCAAGTCTGTGAGTTAAACTAGGTGAGATCTTACTCAAAGCGCTTCATCTGTCCCAACCTTAATTAACAATGGAACCTGAGATCTTCTCTGTCTTGCCTCCTTTAAAGGAAATAATAAAGGAGAAGCAATTTTCAAATACTAGGGCTTGATACCATTCCTGTTACCACTGGCCCTTGGGGGCCAGATACAGGCCTGAAGTTTGCCTCACTTTGGGTTGTAAAGCTGTCATTAGCAGACAATGGAGGCATGACCTCTACCTCTTGCTCTGACCTTTTGAATGGCCAAGCAGTGTGGCTATTTAGAAATGGAAGGCACAGTTGAGAAATCAGTAACTGTTGGTGAGTTTCAGGAATGAAATTTCCTCAAAAGGAAATACATTTCAGGAGCGAGAGGAGCAGACTGTACAAGGCTGATGCTCCCAGTCTGGGGCAGAGTCTAGCACTCTACAGCCAGGATGGACCTGGACAATTAGAAAGGAGGCGAGTGAATAATCCTAGCAAGTGACTGTGCAGGAAGCTTGGGGGAGATCCCTTTGCATCAGAACTAGGGATCAGATATCCAGATGATAGCTTCTCCTGAGCCTGATTTCAAGAGAGCAGTACAAACCTCTGTGCTGACAATGATCTGTTTCTGAAGAAAGACTGGGTCAGTAGGCCATCAGCTGCTGCCCTTTCAGATAAGGCCTGACCCAGTGATCACTTGGGTTGTAATAAACATGGACAAAACTCCCTGTCGTATCCCTACTCTGTCTTTTCTGGGCCAGGTAGAAAGGCCCTGCTTTGCTGATGCCCAAGGGATTCTAGGACTTGGGAATTTAGGAGGCTATTGTGGCAGGCAACTTCAAAAGCTACCAATATTCAAATTCTAAGGGACTTTTGGAGGCTCTCCAGTCTAACCATCTGTTTCTAGACACAATTTGAATAGAATTAGATGAAGAATACATCTATTGCCTAATCAATGGAAAATTCTTTGTGCATAGGTAAGCTAAATATATAGCAGCCTCATGTAAGCACAGGTCCCACTTGAGGCACGTGTCTCAGACAGAGGTAGGCACTGTGGAGAAAGAAGACAAGAATTCTAGTCAGGCTGGGGAGAGTGGCACTTGGAAGAGGATCCCAGGTAGTTTTCTGAGCATGAGCATATCTGTAAACAAAGTGAGACATGCATGGCCCCAAGTATGGATTTGGGTTCTTACATAGGCAGGGTTGTGGCCATTTCTGCAATGATTCCAAGGCAGAGCAAAGTTCCCTGCCCTGGAGCTCATCAAGTGGCCACAGTGTACCTGTCGGCCTGAGTGGGAAGAGCTCTAGGAGCCTCTTGCAGGTCATAGTGCAAAGCAGCAAGAATGCCTCCACTGCCAAGGACGCTTGCTTGGCAGGTTTCTTCTCAGCTCTCTGCCACAAGCACCTGCCTTTTCACACACCCTGGCCCTTTCTGTAGGCTGCAACCTAATGGCACCCCATCCCTACCCCCAGGCAAAAGAGTACCAGTCCCCTTGGAGTCTGATGGTTACTCCTAGAGTCTGGAGTGCACCTTTGCTTTCTCTGGCCTGCTGCCCTGGATCCTCAGTTTAGTGCAACAAATGATAAATCTGATGCGGGACCTAGGGTCATGCCAGAAGCCAGTCAAGATGGAGCCCAAGAAAGTTCTGCTTTCTGCAAACCCTGGGGCTCCATCAACTGTCCTGGTAACTCAAGGTCATTCTGGGAAGTCAAGTAGGCCTTGTTATCCTGGAGTCACTGGGGAATAAATAGCACTGGGGCATTTCTCTCGGTGGCTGCAATGCCAATATACCTCACTCCACAGCAGCACTTAAGAGGTTCTGGGAGTCCTGGCTCCCAAACCTGGGGCAGGGGCATGGGCTGGGGTGGAATGGGAGAATCTAGGATGCAGGGGCTTCGCCCAGCCTGATGGCCCCAAAGAAGGTGGTGTGCTTGCTCATGTTGATAGAGATGTCGGCATGCACCATCTTCACAGCAATTTTCTGCCGCGCCTTGAGGAGGCAGACTCCTGCGGTATAGCAAGTGTTGTAGTTGGTCTTTCCTGTTTCAATGCTGCGGGTGCACTGCAGGAAGGGCTTCTCATCCACCACCACCTCGTAGCTGGCAAAGTCAGTGAAGTTGATGTAGTACACCTGGGTGAGAGGCAACAAGAAGGGATTGGGGGAGAGAGGAAAGAGAGGGTGGGGCCCTCCCCTGGTGAGCGGACAGAACCTCCTCAGATGAGCTGCCAGTATACCCTGTGTAGGGGCAGTGCTCCCCCCAAAGTGTGCCAGTTGGCAAACAGTGACAAGCTCACACTGTCCCTCTCCTATTTCACGGATTCGGGTGGCTGAGCAGACCTTTCTTACAGACTGCCTGAGGGCAAGAATTGTGCCGTATATGCCCCTTCGCTGACCACACTCCCTGGTCTTGGCATGAAACAGTGCTTTAAACACTTTAGGTGCTTAGTCAATGCTCTAGACACAGACTAACCTCCAGTTCCCAACCCTGAGGACTATTCATAAATACGCTTAGAAGTTACTGATGCCCCAGGGAGGTTGTAGTAATGACTTGCCATTCCTCTAGCTTATGAACAGCAGCCCCCTGAACTTGCAGCACGTGCTCCCTGCACTGCCCTTTTCTCCCTGACCCTGTATACCTTGGCCCTTCTCACTTGATGACTGAAGAAGCAGATCCTGAGAGATGGAGAGCTAGCCCTCACAAATGAGATAATAGATGCAGAAGAGCAAATCCCAGGCTCCAAACTTCAGTCTGTGGCCAGGAGCAAGTATGAACCTACAGTCAATGGCCTGGCACCATCAGGACATTCCTAGTCCATGTGGGCCACTCCTAATTCTCTCCTATGTCTAGAAAATTGCTTTTTCTAATCCTTCATTACTCTTAGCACCTCCCATCCCAAGCTTTGATTTTTTTTTTCACCACTATCAGTTGGAATTTAGTCCATAGGACATTGGGGCTATACATACATGCCCCTTCATCTGACTCCTAAAATTACTTTATGGAAAGTGACTCCACAGGCTCTTTGGTGGATTTATCAGAGTATCCAGGTGCCACACAATCTCTTGGGTCAGGACCAAGCTATTCCAGGATAGTCTGTGCCTGGCAAGTGCTTGTTGGCCCAACTTCTCTTGTTGCTGTCTCACGAGACCCATTTGTTGGCTCTGAAGTCCTCTTGTCCACCTGCTTATTGGCTGCCTCCCCAGTCCCCACCCTGACGCCCTGACCTCAGGCTTATCTACTTCTAACTCCAAGGAGATCCCCAGTGGAGGCAAACGATGAGGGATGGAACTAGATGGGCAATGGCAGGCCTGGGGGGAGCGGGCCCAGGGCAGGAAAAGGACAAAAGTGGAGGGAGAAAGGTCTGGGAGAATGACATTAGGAAGGAGGCAAGAATAACAGACAGAAACAAATGGGAGAAAAAGGAAGGAAAGACAGTCAGAAATCTTTTTGAGGTAGAGAGAAAGTCTGTAGGAGCACTGTTCATTATAATAAACTAGCAGTGTTGTTGGGACAGGTTCTTAGCAGCTCTGGAACTCTTCACAAACTTAGACCAAGGTTCAGCTTTGGCTATAGAACCAAACAATTCAGAGGGGAAACAAGGGCCTGGGGCCCTGCAAGAGGGAATCAGACAGTAGGGTGTGTGTTGGGGGGTTATTTTTAGTTGTTCAGTCATATTTCTCTAGGGAAAAAAATGAACCCGGTCCCCTTGGTCTTTCCTTGGTTCAGTTCCCTCCCAGTGTGGATCCCCCACCTCTGTCCCCAGCAAAGCAGGAAGTTAGCCATTGGATGGTTTGGGCTGGCTCCATAGTGCCCCTAGGTGGCCTGCACCGGATCTACATTCTGGATATAAGAAGAGTTAGGCCTAAGACCGTACTCACTTCTACCTGACTATAGATGAAGTAGGTGCCGTCCACCAGTACCTCCAGCTCCCCGCTGCGGGGATGTAGTTTAAACACTTTGGGGTTCATAGTGATGCGAGACCAGTCATTGAGAACTCCACCTGAAAGATCTCAGTAAGAGAAGGGCAGTCACTCAATACATGTTAGAATAATGTGGGCAACAGAAATCAGAAATATCAGACAGTATACAACTCCCCGACCCCACTCTAAGCAATCACAAAGACCCTGAAGGCCAAGCCTTAAGAAGAACATCAGGAAGCAGGAAAGGTATACAGTTTGTAAGAGTTGACTTCTAGGCCTGCCTCGGGGCCCCATGGGTCTATATGTCTATCTCTACCCTTCTTAACCTCTTCATCAGCAAGGCTCTTTAACTTATACCTTCTAGCTGGCATCTGGGTGATGGTGGTAAAAGGAGAGGAAGCACACAACTCTATTTTCTTTGTTGTTATAGGAACTGCACAGGCAAAATTCAGACACTGAGTGGCAGGCTAAGTCCTGGTTTTCAATTTCACTTTCCCAGCAATAGCTCCTGAATCCCTCTCCTGTCTAGTAGGTTCACTTGTTTTCTCCTTCTCTTTAACAGATTTCATTCTATGGTTTCCCCCACACCCACTCCTTTCTGGGAAGCCTTCCTGGGGCCCCAGGAAACCACTTAGTTGAATGATCCATCTGTCTGGAGAACTAGATAGGGGTGATTAGGGAGCAGGAGTGATCATTCAGACTCCACGGCAACTGGGTCTAGTGACACCAGTAACCAGGCCCCATAGATGGGGGGTATCTTTATGAGAGTGGGGGGATAGTCTGCCAGGTTGCAGTAGACCAGCCACAAGTATAGAAGGTGCCTGAGAGCTGAGGCACTCTTGGCAAAGCATCTGTCTCATAGCCCTAGCTCAGTTACGGAACACTAGCATGGCAGAGTAGAGGACTATTTTTTTCCATCTTGAAGACAGAGAGATGTGCCTTTCTACCATGAGAGGAGGGAGCCTTAGCTCATGGGGCCTTTTCCTTTTTTTTCTCTCTCAGCCAATTTTCCTTCACAAATGAAAAATCACATTTTAAACATACATCCTTGGCTAGTCTCAGAAGGCCTGCTTCTCTGAAGTATGAGGAAAAAGGCTTTCTAGAAAAGGAAGCCATCTGAGGTAGCGGCAGAAACCCTGGCTCCACTACTTCAATGGACTATTCTGCATAGTGTCTTTGACAGCTGTCCTCCTCACTTCTTCTGGTGGTCAGCCTAAACTACTACTGGGAATTAGCCCAGAGGGACTGGAAATAGTCTTGCTATATTATGGTAGTGGGAGTAAAATTAGTAGCTTCTGGCATGGAATAAACACTAAGGCCACCACTATAGATACCCAAACAAATCTGTTTCCTGTCTAACACTGTTCTCCTGGGACAAAAGTGATTATGGTCCACCCAGGATCCTGAGTCCCATACTGCTTGTTTCCCAACAGGACTGCTTGTTTCTTGTTTGTCTGTTTGTTTTGTTTGTTTGTTTGTTTGTTTGTTTGTTGAGACAGGGTATCCCTGTAGCCCCAGCTGCCCTGGAATTCACCATGTACACCAGGCTCACCTTGGTCTCACAGAGATCCTCTTGCCTCTGCATCTGGCGTGTTGGGATTAAAGGTGTGCGCCACCATGCCAGGTTATGAGTGCTTGGGTTTTTGTCTTACTGTGCTCCTATTTATACTTGTGAAGCTATTAGGCCAGGCGTCCAGTTGGCAGTCAAGGGAGTAGCTAAGTCCAATGATTAGGGAAACTCAGCACAGCCATTTCAGGACTGACTGGGCACTTAGAAGCTATCTCCATGTAGCTAGCTTTGTAACTTTCATTTACTGTTTCTACTCACAGTCCCTCCCTTCTACTCTAAGCTCTGTAAGCATCTGGCATCTTGGCTGGCTTGCTGCTTCCCAAGACTCCTGGGGATTCACAGATTTTAGGCTTTGGGCACCCTGGGGACTGGACATTATTTCAAAGTTCTGTTCTTTAATGAAGAATGTTCATATCTCTTTGGGGAAGAAAATGAACCTAATCACTCAGTGGAGTGTACGTACACATCACTGAAGTAGCAGAGCACACTGGAAAGAGCAAGAAAGATATGGTTTTGAATCTCAGCTCCTAACTATAAAATCTTGGGTCAGTTAATTAACCTCTCTGAGTTTCAGTTTCTGTGTCTGTAAAAAAGGAGCTAACCTCATAGGGTGTGAAGAGCAAGTGAAATAAAAGACAAAGCATTTGGGAATTCTAAAGTGCCATGCAGACATATGGCAGTATGGTTTATTTTGGTATTTCTAATCTCTCTGGGACTCTGTTTCCCCATCTCCTAAATACTGGCATAACATTAAATCAGTATTTTGCAACCTCATTAACATGGTCTCACACTTTTGATAGACACAAGTGTCACACACTTCCTAGAGAACATATCCTTTTTCCCTCTCCACCCATTTTCTGCATAGAGCCATCAGACAAAATAATTTACTGGACATATTTTTACCTTCCCTAATTTTCATTGTGAAAATGCTTATCAAACTACATATATATCTCCATGGTGACTCTGATACAGACATCAAGAATGCCTAGGTAGATGATGTCACAAGTCCCTTTCATCTCCCTCATCAGTGGATTCTAAATGCAATTTGTGGGCTTGGGATGTAGTTCAGTGATAGTGTGCTTGCCTAGCAGGCCCTGGGTTCACTCCCTTGTACTGCAAAAACAAACAAAACTAAATGCAATTTGGGTGTAGCAACTGGTTTTGGTACAAGCAGTTACACGTAATAGTCAGTAGAGGGCACGATGGAGTAGCAAATGTCCTTCTCTGCCAAGGATAAGCACAGGATCTGGTAGGAGCTAGGCTGGGTGATTATTTGGAAACTGCAGATGAGGAAAGGGAGAAACTCCTCTTAGGGAAAGAGCCTACTTTGATTCTTACCATTCTTGACTTGAATTGCTGACCCCTGGCCCTGCAGATGCACCACAGCTGGCTGGGAGGAGAAGATGGAGACAGTCACTGTAACGGCTGTTTGCTGGGTTACGCATCCCTGTGTTTCTACCTATGGTTTCTAGATTCCTTTGTATCCCAATTCTGATCCCTTTCCTCTGTCTTGGGATGTTAGTAGCTATATTTCTGATAGAGAATAGTATGACTCTCGGGCTCTACCACTTCCTTGCTAGGTGCCCTCAACCAAATGTGATGCCTTTGAGTATTATTTCCCCAGCTGTAAAATGGGGATTTTAATAATCTTTTTCTGGCCTCTTTCATAGGGGTATTTGAAAAATCAAGTGAGATGGTGTCTATAAAACTGCCCACAAAGCCATCAAGGACTGTGCAGCTGTTTAGATTTATCACTGTGGCCTAATAGCTGTAGTGAGGGTAGCTGCAGGGAGGAGAGAAGACCAGACCAGGCAGTAGGACCTGCCAACAGAGACAGATTAGGGGGCTTAAAGACTAGGAAGGAGCCCATCATGTCATTAAGACCAGAAGCCCAGGCTGGCTTTAGCCTAGAGCAGTTGACTGTTTTTCTCAGTTCCAGGCCCCAGGCACTCTGAGGGCTGGTCAGATATCTAGGGTGGCTGAGGAGTAAGTCAAGCCCAGGTGAACAGGAATGACTGGCAGCTTATTTCACTCACATTGAATCTGGTTGTAGTGACCCTCTGTCACCCTTGGAATGAGTAAAATGGTCCAGGCAAGACTGGGTTTCCTTAGCTAAAGGCATATCCTTGGGGGAAAGCTTTTCTGTTGTTAGAAGCTGGCAATGGATGTCACTGAAAACCTCAGAACCTCCAGGGAATCATAAAATAAAGCCTCGGGGAATTTCATAGGGAGCAGACTTCAAGGTGAACCCAAGCCTGAGGTATTCCCTCCTCCCCAGGAAGACGGCAATCCCCAGCCAACCTGGTTTTCCCGAGTTCCAGCTTTATCAGCAGCACCTGCAAAATAGACCAGGACAATCAGCCAGCATGTTCTTTGGACTTCTTTCTCCTCATCCTAGCAGCCAGGGGTTCAGAACCTGGCTCCCCACAGCCAACGCTGTGGGAATATTCTTCCCCAGGTCTTGGAGCCCTTAAATGAGAGAGAACACAGGGCCCTTAAATGAGAGAGAACACCCCTTCCTTCCCAGTCCTGTTCCTGATCTCCATTTTCAGAGGGCCCAGCAGGGAAGCTGGCCTCTTGCCAATACTGGATCAAGGCAAGCCCCACTGAGCACCCATGGACAGCGATAAGAGGGCATTTCTGTTATTGTGTGCCCCTGAGAAATTGACACTTGACTTTCTAGCCTTTTGCTCCCTTTCTATTGTCTTCATAGAGCCACCTGTCATTTATAAAAATCTTGTTTCTTTAATTATTACTCTTTGACTCTAGGAAATAAACTCTATGAGAACAGGGATCACTTAGCAATATATCTCTTTGTACACAGAAATTGCTCAATTAATATCTGTGGAATGATTGGATTAAATAAAAAACTAATTTCATCTCTTGTGGCCATGGCAACACTGCTGAGTCCTGTCTGAATTATATGTGAAAGAATCTGGGTTCTGCTACTGAATTCTTAGACCTAGAGAAATCAGCTTAAAGAATTCGTTTCTTTGAGGTCCCAAAATACAGGAGAGGAGCAGGAGAAAAAAAAATAACAATTGGCATAAGTTCAGGTGGTCTGACTCCTGTCAACTCTAATTAGGCAGGTTTGGATCTGCAGCCATACCTGTTGCTTGCCCTGCTGGGCCGCAGGAGAAAGTTACAAAGGGATGGAATGTCATTTGAATGGGCAGCATGGTGCTTAAGGGTTTAGTGTGAGAAGCACTTGATTCAGGGACACAGTGGTCTTGGTGCCAGGTTTGCTGCTGCCACAGCCCAAGTGACTCATACCTTTCTAATTACTTGACTGTAAATGACTACTTGTCTACACCTATGGGAAAGGCATCAAGCATCTCAGAGTACATGGGAGGAAACTATCCCAGGGCTTACCATTTTGTCTAGTCCCCAACATTCTTCCTTATAACCTATTTCTATACAAACGTCCTGTGGCACTCCATGCTGGATTTTAGAGCAGGCCAAATCCATAACCACAGAAACTCCAGTGAATGGTTAGGGCCTCCTTCTCTTACCTCTGTTTCTGGCTCATATATTTACTGGCTTACTAACATCAGGGAGGGACTGTGATGGAAAGGCTGGCATGGGACAAGAACACATGGCCTGTCCTTCATAGGTTGGCAGCAACAAAAATTAGAGTAGTCCAGGCCCTACTCGAGCTTATTTAATTTCTAGTTTTACACTGGATTAGGAATTTCTTTTCTAAAAACATTTTTATTTATTTAGTTTGTTTTATGTCTATGCATGTATTGCCTATGTGTATGTAAATGTACCCATGTCATGCAGTGCCCTTGGAGGATAGAAGAGGCCGTCAGATCCCCTGGAACTGGAGTTATAGACAGTTGTTAGCTGTCATGTGGATTCTGGGACTTGAACCCAGATCTTCTGCAAGAACAGCCAGTATTCTTAAGTGGTGAGCCATCTCTCCAGCCCTAGGAATTTCTTTTTTTAAAAAAGCATTTATTATTTTTATTTTACGTGTATGAATGTATTGTGTGCATGTATGTAAGTGCACCGGTGTCGTGCAATGCCTGTGGAGGTCAGAAGAGGGTGTCGGATCCCCTGGAACTCGAGTTATGGATGATTGTTAGCTGCCATGTGGGTGCTGGGAATCAAACCTGGGTCCTCTGTAAGAGCAGTCAGTGCTCTTAACTGCTGAGCCATCTCTCTATCCCCCAGGATTAGGAATGTCTTTACTATATATCATCACTGAAACTTCCTTCAAGATCGTCCCCTCCTACTCTATAAAAGTACTGATAAGGTGTTTAAGGGGTGGATGACAGGAGAACTCACCAGAAGGCCCCTGGAGGCCAGGGGGCCCTTGAGGACCAGGAGGACCAGGAGGACCAGGTGGTCCCATAACAGTTGTTCCTGGAATCCCAGGAATCCCTGGAATCCCTGGAGGTCCCTGGGGTCCTGGAGGTCCTGGAGGTCCTGGGGGACCATTGGGCCCGGGTGGCCCTGCTTTCTTTCCTAAAAAAAACAGGATCCAGTGTTACATTTGGAGTTATTTATGGCCAAGAACATACATACTGTCAGGAGTGTACTTGTAGTTCTCATTAGCCCTCTAGGAGTTTGTGCTAAAGAGCTGGACATGTTTGTTCCCTTCTCCACCCTGCACTTAAAGATAGACTTAAAGATATAAAAATAAACAGCCCTTGAGGAGTTTGGTATAATAGGGAAAAAGTCTCAGCCACAGGAGAGTAGAAGTGCCAAATGCTAAACAGGCCAGGGAAGACTTCAAAACTGAGGTTATATTTCAGCTGAGTACAAAGGAAGAGAACTCCTAAGCAACCAGACTTACAGGTCACTGTGGTTCCTTTTAGAATTGGACTATTGTTGAAGAGTGTCAAACTTTCATTGTAACTTCTCAATTGGGTGGATTTGATGTGAATAACAAAAGGATGATGGCAGCCTGACCCGAGGAACACTACCAGCTCCAGGAAGATTCCTCAGGAGCCAGGACATGCAGGAGATAGGGGTGGGTGGGGGCAGCACCAGCTGCAAAAGAGGAATGGGAAGCAGTTTTGGAGATGAAGGTGGAGAAGGAGGGAATGACTGAAACTGTTGAGAAACAACAAGAAAGATGGAGAGGCACAGTAGAGAGACTTGATGAGGAGGAGGCAGGCTCTGCTTTCTCAGCTGACCTCTCTAAACTCTATTTTTAAAGATCCTTGAGAAAGGAAATTCTGAAAAGTCCCTTGGTTTCGTGTTCCAGTGTTTATCACCCCTCACTGCTCACTGTTAGGAAGTTCTTTGGTATATTTAACTGAAATCCCTCCTGTGGTTATTTGAACTTTTATTCTGTTCTTTGTGTAGATAGAGAAGAGCAGTTAACACCATATACATAAAACCTCTCATATACTTAAAGACATTAGGCTACCTAACAATCTCTATTTTATAGGTGAAATAATCCACCTTCTCAGAGACTTTCCTTAGAGGGTGTATTCTCAAAGGCATTATTTATCATGTCTATCAACTCTTCCTCCTTTCCTTCTCACTGTCTTCTTCCAGAAGACCCTCAGTCTTTACATTTCATATTTCAGTCCTTCCAACATTTCTTCCAGGATGTAGCCATGTCGAATAAATCATAACATTGGCCTTGAATCCGACCGACTCCAGCTCTTCCTGTTGATTTGCTCTGCTCTGTACAGACTCATTTAGGGACTGTGAGTAGTCACAGATTTCTTTCTTTCTGTGTTTACTACCTTCTCACAATTATAATGGAAGGCCCAGGATTGGAAATCTTTTACAATGTCATCCCCTGAGATAGTTTCTTAGTCTTAAATATAAGCCTCTCTACTTTCACTTTAAAATCTTCTTAACTGGTTCCAGCTCTGTGTTCCTCAGATTCTTTTTTGTTCTTTTTAAAAAAAAATTATTTATTATTTTTATTTTATGTGTATGCATGTATTGCCTGCATGTAGGTAAGTGCACCTATGTCATGCAATGCCTGCAGAGGTCAGAAGAGGCTGTCAGATCCCCTGGGACTGGAGTTACGGACAGTTGTTAGCTGCCATGTGGGTGCTGGAATTCAAACCCGGGTCTTCTGCAAGACCAACCAGTGTTCTTAACTGCTGAGCCATCTCTCCAGCCCCCTGTTCTTCAGATTCTTTAGCTTGGAGAATTCTGCCCTGATTTATCAGGTCCTCCTTTAAGAATAATGCTTCATGTAGAAAAAAACCAAGTACTCATGGAAAGCCCCATAAAGAAGCCAACTGTCCATGTCTAACCACATGTACATTTGGAATGAAATAATGGATCATCACGGGGCCTCTTCTTCAGAGAGGAAAGAATGGTCCTGAGAACGTTTCTTCAAGAGGCCTTATAGCCTTAAAGACCTGGAGCCACAAACTGTAGCATTTACCCTGAACTTAGTAGTAAAAGATTAAATCTGCCTAGATTCTAGATATATCCAATTTTAAGATGTTGAATAGGAAAACCCTTTGGATTTGGGTAGCTTCCAAAGGATGCTTATTCAGCGCCCAAGTTTCAATTCTAGTTAGTGTAGTGGAAAGAACATGGACTCTGGACTCAGGAGATAAGGATGTAAAACCCAGCTCTGCCACAGATGCACTTTGGGCAAATCCCTTGTTCTCTTTGAACCTTTCTCTATCAGTGAAACAAGGAGCTTGGGCTTGGTGATTTCTCTGTCTACTCTTTAGACTGAAGTTCTATAAGAAAGACTGAACTAACGGCAGAGGGAGAACTTTTCTAGCCTGATTGTAAGGTTTGCTTCTCCTTCTTTAGTCTCTGGTTGGACTAGACATAGAAGATGGTATGTATTAGGTTGTCCTGGGTCTCTGTACTTCCAGTCCCCACAGAGATTTTATAGCTAGAGGGTGTTCTGTGGGTAGCACAAACTTCAGCTCCAAGAATGTGAGTCCCCTGTAATTGCTTAACATAATTTTGGAAGAATTACAGCCAGAACCTCCTCCAGTCCAGGAGAATAATGGTTGCAGTGTAAACAGAGAATGTTCACTTATGAAAATGTTAGAAGGCATTTGAGAAAAAGCTCCCGCTGTGATCCAGTTCTGCAGCTGGCCCTCTGCTTCTCTGCAACCAGGCAAGTATACTTCTCCTACTTGTGTAATTACAGAAAGTTAGGTCCAGAGAAGAGAATGCAGAAAATGACCTCTGGACCAAGAGACTGAATTCCTTCTTTAGATTCCCTAACTTTAACAGAACACTTCAAGATACAAAAGCTTAGAGATATTCACACTTAAAAAGTTACCTTGTGTAGTCTTAGATAAAAGAATATGCACATTATTTCAAAGCTAAACTTCATCAGAGGGGCATTTCCCTAACCTTTTAGCTAAGTCCCAGATGTTTAAAGAACAACCAAAAGCTAGTGAGTGAAAGGGTTAGGGGTAATGGGTAGAGAGAGGGAGCTGTGGGAGTAGGAAAATTCCATTAAAGGGTGAAAATTAAGCAAACAATTCAATTTACCTCTTCAAGTATGTGCCTATTTACGGTGTCCAAGGAAATCCACATTAAATGGCTTCTAAATCACTTTTAACCAAAGTGAATGTTTAAGGCCTTTATGTACTCTCTTCCCAACAGTGTTCCATACTCAAGGTAGCGATGCTGGGCAATGATCTGAGTTATAATTCTTTTCTGAAAATTTTTATTTATTTTTATTATTTTATATGTATGAATGTATTGCCTACATGCGTGTAAGTGCACCTGTGTTGTGCAATGCCTGAGGAGGTCAGAAGTGGGCGTTGGATCCCTTGGAACTGGAGTTACAGATGGTTGTTTGCCACCATGTGGGCACTGGGACTAGAACCTGGTTCTCTGCCGGAGCAGCCAGTGCTCTTAACTTCTGAGCCATCTCTCCAACCCCCGAGTTATAATTTCTATCTTGAAGGCATGTGACAAGAGTACAAAAACAAATGCTTGAAAATCAAATTTACTTTCTTAAAAGACAGAGTATCTTGGTGGTGAACACCCAAGAAACCCAGAGAAAGGATTTGTTACTAACTCCAGCTCTCTGACTGTTTTCTAACTGTGCTCAATTCATGTCCTCACAAGGCCAGGGCATTCTTCAGATTTTTTAAAGAACAGAAACACAAGTTTGACATGTGGATAAGGGTACATGATGGTAGCAGAATACCCTAGTGCTCAGTGGAATGGCAGGATGCTCCTGAAGTTAGTCATTTGGGCCTAGTTTGGGATGGGTAATCTGATCTAGAAACCTCCATAAATCTTAACAGAATCACTTCTCTTCAAGAATTTTAAAACCTATAATCCCAGCTACTTGGGATGCCTAGGCAGGCAGATCGCTGAGTTCAAGGCTAGTCTGGACAACTTAGTGAGCTCATGTCTCAAAAGAAAGTAAAAGGAGGGTTGGTGATATACCCAATGATAAAGCACTTGACTAGCAAGTGTAAGGCCCAGAGTTTAATTCCAAGTACCATACTCACAGAAAAATAAGTAAGGACTTGAATAAAACCTTTTTGTCTTTGTATTATCTCTATATTCCTTTCCGGTCAGAATCCAGAAGTAAATAAGTACATAAACTTGTTTCACCATTTTGTTTTGTTTTTTAGTGCTAAGGAGTTGACTACATTTGCCTAGTCCTTAGAACCTTCTTCTTGGAATTTTCCTCTTCAGTTACACAGGCCAAGCACTCTATGGGCCCGAGGGCCAGTCCCAACTTAAGTGCAATATGGACTCACTAAACCATAGGCTGCACAATGGAGCTCTCCGACTAGAAGCTACTTTAAAAACACAAAAGGACCAGAATAATATAACAGTCTAGTTTTTGCATCACAGAGAAAATTATATTGAATTCTCAAAGCAAGAAATACCTTCTTTGATCATCTGGAAAATCGAATAAAGACAGTTTTCAGACCAAGAAACAAAGTATTGATATCTTTCCATAGGTAATATGCTCTTTTTTTCTATAAGTTGTCTCAGGTTTTCATTCATATGTGATCACTTATCTGATAAAGGATGGGAAAAGGGGAAGAAGGGCAGTGGAAAGAATAAGGAGAGAAAGAAATAAGAACTAGAGACAGATGCAAATAGGAAATAAAGAAGAACCAAAACAAGGACTAGGGGCATAGCTTAATGGCAGAGCTTTTGCCTAACATTTATAAAGTCCTAGATTCAATCTGTACTGGGAGAAGTGGCAGGTGAGGACACTAGGGACAAACACAAAACCAACAAAAAACTGCATCAAAACAACTGCTAGAATCAATTCTATCTTTCATGGCTCATTACTGAAGAACTAATTCTTGCTCTTCAGGAAGTACAATACTTAAATAAATCACATGTGATTGAATAAAGTAATGGACATTCAATGTTGAAAGAAATTAATGCAAAAATCCTACCTCTTTCATTTTTTTTCTAATTTACAAAAAGATACGACATGGCAATTTAATAAAATTGGGAGCTCAACTTACCCTTTTTCTTGTTTTTAACAGGACCTATTAGAAATAGAAGAAAAAAATTAAATCAGTAGAAATTAAAAGAAAATGGTTATTCTCTGGAAGGTCACTAAAAGGGAACTTTAAGGCACTGCAAATGTAAGAGAGCTCCACAGCCAAGGGTCAGGTTTTAGGCAAGGTATCTCCCAACTATCAAGCCCCTCCAATTTGTTTGCTGATTTTGAGGGCACAAACATTATAAAGAAGGGGGCTGGAGACATGGCTCAGTGGTTAAAAGAACTGGCTCCTCTTACAGAGGACACAGTTTTGGTTCCCAGCACCCATGTGGCAACTTATAACTGTCCATAAATTCAGTTTCAGGGGATCCCACACCCTCTTCTGGCCTCCATGAGCATTTCATGCACATGGTGCACCTACATACATGCAGGCAAACACTTATACACATAAAATTTAAAGGATTAAAAAAAACAAGAGTTTTCCATAAAGAAAAACATTTTCCCACTTTAGTCAGGAGTGAAAGAAAGGGTACTCCTCTGTAGAGATGGAAAGCCCAGAAATGTGCAACTCAACAACCTTAGGATGGCATTCCATTAATTCTGCAAGTCCTCAAGTGGCAGAGTCATGCATTCAGGTGAAGCTCTGATAAAGTTTCACATCGTAAAAAAGAAGAAAAAAGGGGTGTTTTTATGGAAGAAGCATAGCAGCAGCAGTTTACTTTTTAGTCACTTCCTTATTGTGCCTTAATTTGTTATTTATTAAAACAGTGCAACCATAATACACTCATGTGGGGGCCACATGCATTCCCACTGCAATTTACCATAACTTAATAGATGCTTTAAAGGAAATGTCAACAGTTTCATCAGCAGTGAAATCACAAGCATTTTCTCAGGAATTGCTTTTAAGGAAAATCATTTTATTCAATAGAGGGAACTCAGAAAACCCAAGACATTCCTAACATTTAGGTGACATTAGGTGACAACCGCTTCCTAGACATACATAATTTAGGTCTCAGTCACTGTTCTTCCTAGGGGCTCAGTTCTCTTTATTCTGTAGATAGATCTAAACTTCTTTAGATACAGGTATTTAAAATTCATTCCAAACTCCCACAAACTCAATATTGCACAACACTGAACTGTTGTTAGTGTCATCAGGAGCATTCCTATATTATTCTATAGTTTACAAGTCATGCTTCTGTATATTATCTCATTTAATTCTTGCAACAAGTCTGGAATGATCTCTATCTACAAGAATAGGTTCCATAGGCAGTTAATAGAGTTTCTAACCTGGAGGGTTTCCAGTATGGCCTTAGAGCTGCACAAGTCCCCTAAAAACTACTCTTTAGATTTCCCTCACAAAGAAATATGTAGTAGTAGGAACCAGTGTGCAGAAGATATTTTGAGTTGGGCTGAGCAACTGAAGGTCATGACCTTCTCTTCTCAAATCCCCCTTTATCTCATGCTTACTCCTCCTAGTCCTTTGTCTTTTTGTTGTTTAAATGTGTTTAGTTTTTTGAGATAGGGTTTGACAGTTTGGCTCAGGTTGATCTTGAACTGCAAACTTCCGGCCTTAGTCTCTGAGTGCTGGGGCACAGGCATGTACACCTGGCTCCTTTATAGTTTTAAACAGCTTTAGGCATTCCTGAGAATCGGTGCAGGGGTTCTGACAGGGAAGCATGGCTACTACTGAGTAAGCGGCACCAACACAACCCGAGAAGGGCCTTGTTCTCAAAAAAAGAAAGCTATTTAGGGACGGATTTATACAATAAAGGCCCAGTCTCACTGTCCTTCTACCAACTGGCCAGTTAGTCATCCCAGCCTCATAGCCAAGAGCAGTAGGATGACAGCTGTTGCAGTTACCTGGTCCTCATAGTCAAGCTGTACTAGCTCTGGTCAATGTTTTCGAACATTTCAGCAAGTTATGAGGTAGTGCTGTTGTATCACATTCTGAGGAAATCAGGCCATCGCCAATCAACCTTTCTGAGCATACCGATGGAAGGTAGTACAGTAAATAGTGACAAAGCACCATCCTCACAGGACTTACAAATTGGATAGAAAAATACTAAATAAGGGGACCTCAGGAATTATGCTGGTTATTTGAGGAATAAAAGCTTTGTGGAAGATTGGAGTTGTATCTGCCCATGAGTCAGTGTTGTGGTCCCCTTCTGTGAACCTGGAGCTGTGGTCCCCTCCTGTGAACCTGAAGCTATGGTCCCCTCTTGTGAGTTAGAGCTGTGGTCCACTCCTGTGAACAGGAGCTGTGGTTGCCTCTTGTAAAGCTGGAACTGTGGTCTCCTCCCGTGAACCTGGAGCTGTGCTCCCCTCCTGTGAGCCTGGAGTTGTGGTCCCCTCCTGTGAGCTGGAGCTGTGGTTCCCTCACATGAGCCTGAAACTTTGGACCCCCCTATCTTGTTTCTTCTTACATCATTACTTTTGGTTAGCCCTCTACCTCCACCTCTTCTCCTCCTCTGTCCCTCAAAACCCCTTCCCTGTTTAAGCCTTACCTCCCCAGTATTCTTCCTTTCTACTTTCATTTCATGTGAGTTCATACTATTTGCCTCCTTCAGACCTCCCCCCCCACCCCCGCCGCCAATATGGTCCCTTTTGTTTGTTTTTGTTTTTTGAGACCAGGTATCCTTGTAGCCATAGCTAGCTTAGGGTGGGGCTTCCTGCCCACCTCCCCCATCCATGCTGGGCCCCTGTCTAACTTATGTTTGCACAGGTCTTGTTCATGCTGTCATGACTGCAACTACTCTGTGCTGTCCAGACAAGTTTCCTTGTATTCATTTACCACCACTGGCTCTTACAATCTTTCTGCCCCAATCTTCTGCAATAACCCCTGAGCCGTGGGAGGAGGGTTTGATACACTTGTCCCATTTAGGGCTGAGCACTCCACAGTCTTGTGTGTGAGTTAATCACCATCTGCTATAAGAAGAAAGTTCTCTGGTAAAAGTTGCAATATGCACTAACCTATGAGTATAACAGTAAATCATTATGAGTCAGTTTAATACTATGTCTATTTAGCAGAATAACAGTAGATTCTCCCCTATGGCCTGTGATTTGTCTAGCCACAAGTTCTTGGCTGGCTCCAATAACAGTATCAGGTATGAATTTCACTTTGTGAAGCAGGCCTTAAATTCAATTAGAAGGTGGTTGGTTACTCCTAGAAAATTTGTGCCATTATTGTACCACTGGGCAGATTTTTCCAAGGCAATTGTTATTGTAGCTTTCAGGTTCACAGCTGGGTAAGTTCGTGATTACCTTTCTCTGCCAGTAACATGCACAGAAACTTCTAGTACTATGAAAACTAGCCAGTAGAGATGAAATTTCGAGGTCAGTAACAGCCTTGGTTTCTCCTTGTTTTTTCTTTATAAAAAAAAATTATTGGACAATTTCTTTTTTTAAAAAAAGATTTATTTGCTCTTGGGGTAAGTCTATAGCGCAGCTCTCCGCGCCGGGACTCCCTAAGCGACATTCACCCTTCCATCCCCCGCCTCGCCGTTCTATACTCCTAGTTTGGGCCCTGCGCCATTCCTAGTCTCGGGGCCCCTGACACCTGGGGAACCAATACTGCTTCCTGATCCTTC